TTTTGTTTTAAATATTTTCTCAATTCTCAGTTTGACTGTTGATAAATTTACTTCTAAATCAATTAAATTAGTATCACTGTTTGGAATCAAATCTTCTAATTGGTATATCAAATAGTGGTGTTGCTCTGGTATCATGTACTGAATCATAATATTTTATACTGTTTGAAACATGAGTTGAATTTAAATCTCCGTGAATTATTTTGTAAAATAAAAGACACTTGCGCCATCTTGCGTCTCTCCTCAAAGTAATCATTTGCGGAAATAGTAGTCTGTGTTCGTATTTTGGCAGTCAAAAATCGTTTTGCACATATTGTTGTAGTGTAGATTCCAAATTTCCACTCATATTCAATAATCGGTATTACAAATGTGAAGTAAAGGCGTTTTAATGTGCATGGTCGACAAAATCCCTGCTGTTGAATTTTAACCAAGCCAATCTTGATTTTGCCTTAGCAACAACATGCTCGATGTGTGATTTGAAATTCATCTTCACATCAAGCAATACTACAAGTCCTTCATTACTTCAACTCTTTCAATTTGCACGTCATCTACGTTGTAATTATATTCATATTTCAGTGGTCCTTTTTGTCTTTTCAACGTTAAACTTTAATAAATTGCGTCCATAGTAATTTGCTACATGATCTAAATCCCTTTGAAGATGAAGGCAGTCATCTACTGATTTTATACAGTATGTTTCATTATAGAGAGAGGTTGATTTAACTACCACAAATTTCAAATATCCTAAAAATGTTTTTGGTGTTGCCATATGAGACTCTAAGCTACTACGCCAATTAACAATGACAGCTCTCAAATCAGTACAGTGTTTGTTGTGCAACGAAAACATTATTTCCGAACATTTTCATTCACGGTTTGAAGCCGTTTTTCTGCATTTGCATCCAAAAGGACAAAGAATGTCGATCACATCGACTGCTAAATACATTAAAAAGTCAAAAGGGTTCGTAATAAAGTGAATCCAGCAGTATAAGCATGAAAAAAAAGTGAACGACCAGCCCAATCTGAAGCCAAACTGAGCCTCCTCGCAACAGGAAGATAAACGGAGAGTCAAGTTGTTCGATAAAAATTTAGGTATGTTGTTGAGCCAAGGTGTTGAACGGCTACGCCGTCTTAAAATAGAGGTCTCGCGCTCTACTATCAGGAGAAGATTAGATGTTGCCGGTGTTCGTTATCGCAGTAAATTGAAGAAACCGCTTTTGACAGAAAACCAGAAGAAAAAGGCACTGACGGGGCAAAGCAAAATTCAACAAGAGATTGGAGCGAAGTTATATACACTGACGAGTCATTCTTTTGGCTGGTGAATAGCACTACCCATGCCTAGTCTAGAGCCCAAAAGAGAATGGTCGTTCGCACGGTAAAGTATCCGAAAAAGGTGCATGCTTATGGTTGCTTTTGTGAAGCTGGTTTTGGAAAGTTGACCATATTCACGGGGATTCCAAGCGCCGTGAGGATGAACCAACATTATTCATCGACACCGTTACCCATCGCTAAGAAGTTCTATGGCAACCACAATTCGAATTGGCTTCTATTAGAAGACAACGATCCAAAACACAAAAGTCGTCTATGCAATGCTTGGAAAGAGGAAAATGACATTAAACAAATGGACTGGCCGCCACAGTCACCCGATTGCAATCCGAACGAAAATTTTTGGGCTATTATTAAGGCATGGCTTCGTGGTAAAACATACCGCAATTTGAAGCAGCTCAGTTCATTCATTCAGCGCCAGTGGAAAGGTTTTCAAAGCGAATATGCTGAAAATTTGAGCAAAAGTATGCCGAATAGATGTGCCTGTGTGATCGAGAAGGCAGGAGAATGGATTAAATATTAATTTGTGGCGCCGTAGCTTAGATACTAAATAGAATGTATATAAAATAATTTTGTAAAACTCTTGAGTTTTATTATAAAAAATCAACCTCTCTCTATAATGAAATATACTGTACATTTTTTAAGTTTTGTATCATCAGCAAATGAAAGTATGCATGAATTGGCCACGACGAAAGGTAGATCAATCACAAACATGATAAACAAAGTTGCGCCAATGGGATAACCTTGACCAGTACCAGAAGTTACTTCGATTGGGTCTGATTTGGTATCTGATATCTTGACTATTTGTCTGCGTCCAGACAAATACCATTCGATCCATTGTAACAGCTGTGTATTCAATCCCATGATGTTTAGCTTTTGAATTAGTAATTTTGTATTCACAGAGTCCAAAGCCTTTGCGATTTCCAAATAAATTGTGTCTTTTCTGCCAAGTTCGTTATCGTTGACCTATTTTTTATGAACCCATGCTGACTTTCGTGATCTAGAATTTTTGACACTATACACTGATGAGCGACGCCATGGTTATTTTGAACGTTGTTTCTGTCACCGTTTTTTTCAGTCATTTGATAGAATGCATTCACCACAATTTTGCACGTATTTGTGAAATTAGGTAATTCAGTCAACAATTTGGAGTGTAAATATTGTGGATATCTTTGATGTATGACTGAAATAAATATCGATAAAATACTAGATCAAACGTGACAATGGCTGTCTTCTCAATATCAATTATCTATAAATATCAAAATATCTACGTTTATCAACCACATTTATATTATGAGAGACTCCTCTCGTAAGCGTACATAATACACCGTTTCAATCATTAAACATCAGCAATGGCATATAAAATAATCGATCGCATTTTGATTCTCTTACTGTGTGTGCATTCTGTCTTTAACCCAAATGAAGTTACAAACGATGTTGTGATGATTTATATAATTTCATTCGGATAAATAAATGCACATAATTGATTCTACTGAGATAGATACTTCCCCCCCCTCTCTCTCTCTCTCTCTGTGTGTGTGTGTGTGTGTCATTCAACTTGAAAATACGGACACGCTCTTTCCAATACCTGTTGTCATCGTTCAAGAACCAAAGATAAAAGGAAATTGAATGTGAATAACAGAGTGACAGTGACCAAACAACAGACCGATAGACCTTTTAATTCGACTTGATGAATTCTCAAGGAAGCGGCGCTAAAAATATTCTTCCTATGTTCTCAATACTTTTCTCGTTATTTTTCGTTTTTATTTTAATTGTATTATTCCAAGCTGGTCGTTTTCATCAAGCAATCAATTTTATTGTAATCTTGTAAACATGATTTTATTGATAGATTGTGCAAAGTTTCAAAATTAATACAGTTAATGAATTGCACATTCTTTTGGAGAAACTTTGCAATCTCACGAAACAACACATGAAAATTAAAAAAAATGCATCAAATCTTCCTATCACTTAATTTTTAAACGAAACAATTAAATACCCATTTTCTCTTAGTCACTCCTTTCTCTTCTCAATGGTGGTTAAGAACTGAACGCTCTAGAATAAAAACAACGTACAGAATGGTTATTATATCAAAGCGGAACACAGCGTTTTTTTTAACATAGATACAACAACAATTGTATATTAAAAAAAACGCCGTGTTCCGCTTTTATATAATAACCATTCTGTACGTTGTTTTTATTCTAGAGCGTTCAACCTGAAAATACCATTTTAAAAAGAAACTGTGTTATTTGTTCGAAAAATATTCTGTCAGTGATTTCATTGATGATTGCAAGAGAATTGTAAAATTTAAAACGGAATCCCAAATCAATTGGTCATTGCAATTGAGTATAAAATTTAATATATTACGGTCGTTTTATCAGCAAATGATATTTATAAGTTTTCTGAAGTAGCCGCAACCGCATTCAACAATTACGACTTGTGAAGTAAAAACCACAAAATCGAACGATACAACTAACGTATACGGAATAATTCTGATTTTTTTAGTACGATGAAATAAAGAATATTAAGAAAAATAAAGAAATCTTGCCTCTAGCTAGAAGTTTGTTTCACTCGTTGTTAAATGATTGTGTGAACATGAGTATTGACCGTGAACGGGTGCTGCCAGTTTTCTCTCGTGTAAAGCGTGGATGTAAAACTTGACCGTTTTGTGTTTTTTTTTTTTTTTTCAATATATTTTTTATTCTGGTCGCGCGTACAAATGCAATGTGTATTAGGAATGAAACGGCGTGAAGATCGAATGTGTTGTTTGGCGCGAGTTTCCTTCCAGGCAAAAATATCATTCGAATTGTTGGAAATTGAAATAAAACTGCATCATGATTTAAACATATCGGGTGCAGCATGTTTCAGCCAACATTCATATTTATATAAATGTGAATTGACCGCGAGAAAACTGAGTGTATGCACGCAGTATAATACACGATGTCCACTGTAGTCAGTATATGAAGTTGCACCGGATCATAGTAACTCTGATGAGCTCACACGGTCGAGGTCTATCTTTCTTTCTCGCAAAATTAAATGCAATACCAAAGCAAACAAGATCCATGGGCATAATATACATACAAAATGCATCGAATGAAGAAGAGACTTTAAATGCTTCCAGCATACAGAGTATTATTTATTGAAGCTAAGCACCAAACACATAAGCACAAGTTTGTGAATAGTGTGCAGCCTACTACTTGTAAAGACATTGTTTTATGTTAAATAGTATTGGCTCCTTTCAACCAATATTCTCTCATTCAAAAAGATATGTTGATTATATCCACAAACTCAATAAAAGCGAGTATCAGAAGCATACACGTTTAGCCGCAAGCGTCATCGCAATGATGCGACGAGTGTGTCGATCAATTTCACACACATACATCTGGATATATATATACACACACGCGTCCATACACTCGTATCTTTTAACGCTGTTTCAATCCCTCTCTAACCAATGTATGTGCGCGTGACTTTTTGGCTTGTTCGTTGAAACGGCGCGTGTACATGTACGCTTGCAAGTGTGAATTGAAAATATAGACAGCGAACAAATGTACAAGCGAGATGAAAACAGAGCAAAGCACAAATACATCGACACACTTCAACCACTAGCTATATTTGAGCACCGCCCAAATGTGCCTTCGGCAACTAGCCGCAGGTTTAATTCGACAGTTTAATTTAGCCTTCTGGTCGGATAGTATCGTCTTGATTCTGTATGTTGTTTATAGGCGCGTGTGCGTTATCTTTTATTGAACGTGTATCGAACTCGATATTCCTCAATGAAATGAACATTCGTTTTCCGGTGGCGAGAATTTAATTCGTTATTGTTTCCTTTAAAATAATTGAAAGTGACACAATAACATACAATCAAGAATATTAATTATTTAACTCATACAAATATCTTGAGGGCAGAAAAAAACGACACAAAGAAATATAAATAGAACAACAAATCAAAGTCAGTTTAAGTGTGATATTTTTGATATTTGCGCTCTGATTAATGTTTCGTTGCAACGGCAGCGATAACAAATATAATCGACATGGACCAGTGTACTTAATCTAGACAGGAAAGGAAACATGATGAAAAAGTAAAGGAAGTTTGCTTTCGCTGAATTTGTTCATTATCAACACATATCATCAAATGTGCCTGTCATAAAGGTGTTAATAACTTGGTGGCTAAATTATGTCAAATATAAGTGTTAATGTGACCGATTAAATGTATAATTTTTGAATTGAAAGATGATTTAAATGCCCGACACACAAGTGGGAGAAAAATAAAAAAGCTCTGCATACTTAAGAAAGAAGAAATCATCATAAAAGGCCAAACGATCCAAGAAAAAAAGTTAAGCGCGGTGAAAACTGATGAAACCTTAAACATATTCTTTTCGTATTGGAACAGTTGCAAGTGTTGCTTCGCACAGCTGGAATTATGGCATAATTAAATCAATATTGTGTATTTTTCTTGAATCATCTTCTGATTACAAAATCTTCCAAATGACACATACATATTCAATTTGTTTTTTGTTCTTGAATTCATACCAACGAAACACAAACACACGTTGTCGACAAATCTGGTGTTGTGATTTATGTAAATCTTCTGGCTATTTCGTTGCGATGGTCTTTTCTTGTGGCCGTTACTAATATTTATTAAATTCACATCGGAAACTTTATCTCCATATTTTCGAGTGAGGGAACGTGTGAATTTGATTGGAATCAAAAAGACAAAATCATAACCAATATATCATCCAAAATATAAAAACTTCAACAAAAGGAAAGAAAGACACTAAATGTGAAAAGATCCAACAAAAATTGGTACTCGGTAGCACATGCTGGTTTTTCGAACCGAGTTTGGAATTTCATTGTGATGACAAACATGAATAATCAGCTAATTTTTTGTGTAGGAATTTGATGTATAAAAAATATATATTTCAAACGGAATTTAGAAAATTACTCGCAACTCTGTGCAGATGTCGATTAACTTAGATGCGCCGTGTTTGCAAGTTTGAATAATAAAAGGATTGAAATGAACAAGTGATCATTGCGCGAAGCTAATATGAATATTTTTACTTGGAATTGAATCAGCATGTATGATAGCAATTGCAGCGTTTATGAGTGTGATAACACATAGTTCGATGCAAATAATTTCATTGGCGTTCAATTAACGTGGCTTGTGTTTTGTGAGTTGTGAATCTTTCGGCAAAAAAATAGAACAATAAAATCAGTGCAAACATTTGAACTAAATAAATTAGTGCAAAAGTGCAAATCACACATCTAAATTAGGACGGAAACAAACACGAAACATTCAAAATGAGGATTAGAAATTTAAAATTTGGTTCTTTAGTTGCCGCATTTTTCCTGTTGCTGAGAATACAATATGTGAGTAATCAGTTTTGGTTTATCTTAATTTCTGTTGTTGTTACATTATTCTCTTCAAATTAAGTTATTTGCTTTTCAATATGAATTGTTGTTGTGCCCACCAAAATCCAATTGACATACATCAGTTGAGCTCACGTATTTCAACTAAACGATTACCGATGGCATGGTTTTTAAAAGACATTTTATTAGTTAAAAGTTGAAAAACCAAGTGTGTGTGTGTGTGTGTGTGAGAGAGAGAGAGAGTTGTGAGTCCATGAATCAAAGAAAAATGAAAGATCCACTTGTTTAGTTGAAAATAAATTTTCGTGTGGGCGATGTTCATCAGCAGCCTTTAAGGTTTTCAATTCAATGTGGTCTAATGTTTTGTGTGCATCTTTTTGAGGTTGTAGTTTCCAATACTTCAGTGTGTTACCGTAATTTGTGTGGGTTGCAAAATTTTGTTCCTCATCTTGTACACGACATTGATGTTTAACTGAATCTTAAGAGATTCACATTTTGAACAATTGACGATGGATAGAAATATTCCAAATGAAACTATGAAATAAAACGCTGTATTTTCAATTAATTTATACACGATCAATAGAGACGTATAAACGAATGTTTTCTCATTAGACATTAGTTAATAAATCTACTGTTTACTTTCAGTTAATTAAACATATTTATATTTATAAACTTATCGGTTTTAGAAACGAACATCAAAAAAATATGTGTGTTATGATAGTTATGCAAACGAACGGAATATTTTTGCGTCATATTTTTTTTATTTCTCTATCGAAAATATATTCAAATCCGCAAGGCATTCATGTCATACATAAAAGAAATAAATGGTATGAATCTTGCGACGAAGAGATAAAAGCAAAAGATGCGCCATCAATAGAAATGAATTTACATTGGAGCAAAGTCTAGAGCACAGACAAAGACAATTTACTAAATTGGAATCATTAATAACATATTTCACACGACGAGTTGAGACGGGAATTAACATGTACGATTATATTTTGTTTGTAAATTTTTGGAAAATTTGCAAAAAGAGTTTTATGAGATTCAATATGCTCAACTCTTTTATAGAAATCAATACAAAATGTGTATTCGCCAAATTCAATTTGCATTTACACATTGAGTGTGTATATATGTGTGTGTTAACGTTTTATTATTGAATGATTACTAATTTTTATCTAGTTCTTGTTTCTTGTGTGTGTTTTTTTTTTTTTTTTGTTTTTAATCTCACAAATTTTTAATTGGCGGATGAGTCTTTCAACTGTTGACATTAATTCCTTGATTAGTCACATCTCATTGTTACTAGTGTGTGTGTGTCTGTATGTGTCATTTTTGATAATGAGTTATGAGAGGAAGGCTATCATAAATTCAAATTGGAAATTAGAGAGAATGGATTGTGTTGGGGAACGTTAGTTGAGGTCAAAGCCATCTACATATATTACAAGTGATTACTGAACAAAAACATAATTGCGTTCTTATTACATATTCCGTAATCTAAAATGCCTATACATAATCGATTTCTTCATTTTGTACATTTGCAACGAAAGAAATAAGCAGAGGAAGATTGTGTATATGAATGTGAGAGAGAGAAGGCAACCAACAGCCAAACGGTATATTTGTTCTCCACCGTTTTTTCATCATTATCTTGTAGTCAGAACAAAATGCAAAGGCACAAACAACATACAAATTTTTTTGTAAAAAATTAAACAAGAAAATCTATAAACACTATAGTGCTCACAAACACAATAATATTGACACAGAGAAAGATAAAAAAGGTAACAACAAAAATGCGCTAGAACCAAATATGTTTTTGCACTTCTATCGGGAGCAACATTTTGGTATCAAAAGCGTTCATATGCAACAACAACGGAAGAGATTTCATGTGTAGTGTTTTTTTAATAGTGTATCAGTATCTGCGCATCTCTTCATCCACACTTTTAAAACGGTTCGTGTGTCGAACGAGTAGCTGTGATGAGCCTATTGTAAAGCAGTTGCTGAAGTTTCAATTGACCATGTTCACTTTCCATCTAGCTTTCCAATCACAAATCACAAGAAAGACTGTTAACGGTCATAAACATTGAAATAATGTAACAATCTTAGTGAATTTCTAGAAACTTACACCAGGAAAGAAAACCTAAACATTAAAAATTAAAACCACAATGAAATTGCATTTTCAAACGTTGATTATAATTTAAAACTGCGAAATTGGTCAAGGGTTTGAATTGCGGTCCAAGCGTCAGGATTATGCAAAATTGAATCATATAATTGCCTCTCAATGTCATCTAACGTCATCAGCAATGATAAATCTAGAAGGATATTTTAGAAAATAAATTGGGACATTTCAATTTTGTGACAATAACAATCTAAAAGTCCAACATGAAACTCTGTATTTAGATACCTAAATTACTAAAATAGAAGTCTACACATTTAACTTCGTTTCAAATTATTATTATTGTTTTAACAAAATTGAAATGTACCAATTTATCTGCTAAAATATCCGGCTGTGTACTCATTATTGCGCAATGACATTATTTTTAAATGATTGGCTCTAAATGTGAATGTGTACAAAACGTGTACAATATCCCGGCTGCATTCATCAGCGCTGTTGATGTTGTCTGGCGGTACACCCTGCCTTCACACTTAACTCATTTTATAGATGATAATTTTTTAAGTGTAAATAGCGAAGAAGAAAAGAGAGACAGAAAAATCATCCTCAACTGCATCGCGTACCATATTTAAGATACGGAACACTCATTTTATTACCATATTTCGAAAAAATCAGATAACTTACACGAACAGTAATTTTTGTTCGATTTATAAAAAAGTATATATCGTTTATCTCACAGCTTCGAACCAGCCGATTAATTCACAAAAACTATTTATATTTAGACGAGGTGAGCGGATAACAGAAGGGAACAAAAAATTGCCGTATTTAAAGGAAAAACACAAACAACACTCTAAACATGTTAGCACTGCATGTTATTTTGTAGAGATATTTCTCTCTCTCTCTCTCTCTCTTTCCTCAATCCTATCTAAAGCGCTAAAATATAATCCTTGCAGTATAATTTTTGTGCGCGATAGACCTCGCGTGCTTTTAATCAAAAACGAAGATTGAAGTGGATGAAAAAAGTGCATGTAAGCAAAAAACGAATTCAAACAAAAAACGCTCGAAAAAGAAACAAAAATCCCACTTTAGGATATAGGTTTCGTATGCGCTACGGAAAATACTTTCGAGTCGCCTAAAGAAATACATAATATTCATTAGAACTGTTTATCAGTTAGTTGTATGAGAGAAATTCGTTTTTTTATTGTGCTAAGCTAAGACTTTTGAATACCATTCTTGAATTTCTCGCATATGCTATATAGCAACGGCTACCATTCGAAATTTAAATGATGTTAAAGATAGACATGAAATCTGGTGGCTCTTTTTCATACAAATGTTGCAAAATGGCATCGAATAAATGAAGATCCGTCGACGAACACATCATCGTTCAACCAAAAACCAACCACGGCTGCACGAAATTCTACACGTGGAATGTATTTGAAAAAAAAAAAAAACAGAACATTTCAGAAAAAACAATAACTTTAAACAGTTGATTGAACTATCACGAATCCGTGGAATGCAGATTTATTAAAAATAAAATTGATATTGTTTTGATGCTTTATGAAATCCTTTATTTGTGTACAGACGATTCGTGGTCATGGCATTGAATTTCTTATTTTAATAAGAAAAGTTATAGTATATATATAGCTTTCGAGATAAGAATAAACAATAAAAAGCCTTTCCATGAATAGTTTTAGCTGAGAAAAAGTTAATACTCATTCATCGCATCAATTGTGATTTTGAGACAATTCATTAATAAAATATTTACATAATTTCGGTTTATTCATAAAATAAATGCTCATGCACAAATCAGGTTATGTTTTTGTTTAAAATATTACAAATCTACCAGATAAATGTTCCAACACAGTTTCGTATGTGGCGTTTCTTTTCATATTAATCATATCAATTCACGTGGCCGCATTGTTTTGATTTTCTTTATATACATACAATTGACTAATTGAAAAAAGAATAGAACCACAAGAATACTAATAGTAAAGAGTGTAAAAGTGAAAGAGAGCAAAAAGCAAAAGAAAACAACATATGAATGCTATTCACATGTGACGTGTAACACGTCTTCATTTAAACTAAAAACTCTTTGTGGTAAGATCTATTCAGAAAGGTCCACACATTTGTTATTCATTTTTCATATTATGAAAGCAAACAAAATACCAATAAATAAAACAACATGATATGTGCACCATCATACAAACATAAAAAAAAAATAAAATCAAAATGGAGCGAGAGTAAGCGTAAGTGGATCGGCGGCTGAATTGTATTTTAAGTGCAATATCAACATTTTTATGATGTACGAAGCATAATTCATTTGTTTGTTACGTTGTTTTTTATTGTTGTCCATTATTTTTTCAAGTAAAAATAAACATATATATATAGAGGAAGAGAGAGCGAGGGAGAGAGCGAGAGAGAGAATAAAACAGAACTAATAATGAATGTTGAAAACGGCAAAAAATTATGTTTTATTCACTCAGTTTCGCACTCACAATGAACTGTGCAACTCAAATCATATGCATCACATCTAATTTCAAGAAATAAATTCCCCTTAAAACTATTGGGCTTCTAACCGATAAAAAGTTAAGCAGCATGCGGAGAACAATTTTACTCCGGAATTTAAAGAAAATCATTTATGTATATAATATGTACCTGGCAGCAGGTGTATAACGGCATTGATGTCATTGTGTTTGACTTGGTTTGGCTCCTGTATTTTATTTCGCTCAATTGTTGCTTATTTCCAATGCCAAATTGAAATGGATAGTTAATTTGATGTATTTTATGATGGGTTTAACATTTAATCTAATCAAATGGTAGTTACAACGTATTATACTTTTTAAACAAACAACATTTCATCGTTAAATAACGGCAAGGGCCACAAAAAAGTTCATAT